GTTTGTCAAGTCGTATTACGCGCTCGTCCGGCGTATCGCCACGCAAATCGCACCGAACTCTTACTCCCCGTCTAAATCCCGCCCGATGAAACGCCATGCCCGACTGGATGTGAACTGGTGGACGGGGGGAAAACCTGGGAGTGCTCTGTGCGAAGCCGAGTCGGGGCCCTATTATTCACGGATCCGCCTGACGCGCAATTATACAGCAATGCGGGGATTAATCAAGAATGGTGCTTTCATAATATACGACGCCGACGTCCTTCTCAATGTCACTATAATCCTAATCTGCTGCTCGTCTGCGATGTCATAACCTCGAGAGATGGATACCAGGCAATGATGGCACAGCAACGTCGACCTTAAAATCTTGTCGCGCGAGCGTTTATCCGTGTCAGCGAGATCGCGAGCCCGGGCATTCGCTCCGACGTCGGCCTGAAAATGATTCGTCGGGGGTGGTGCAAGTCATTGCTCGCACGTACTGTAAAACTATCGGTATAGTTGTCGGCACTTGTGGAGGCTACCTGTGGGGTACGTGTACTTCTCCTCCTCCTTCTCCTCCTGTGTTGTGCGCTGCACTGTTCCTTCTATGTTGCACGCGGGGACAACAATAGCCAGCAGCGTGGGTTCTGGCAATCATGAAGGCCTATAAGCTCTCACCCGTTATAGAAAGGGTTGCCCGAAGGCGCGGTATGCGTGAATGTGTTAGTGCGTGCGTGCGTGTGTATGGGTGTGTATGTGTGCGCGTGCGTGCCCTCGCGCGCGATTGTGTGTTGGTGTACAGTTATATGTGGTATGTGTGCATACGCGTGGGTACGTCATAACGCGCGTGTGTGCGGGCGTGTGTAGTACGTGTGCGCGTGTGTGTGTGTCGCGCGTGTGTGTGTGCGTGTGTGTGTGCGTGCGCGTGCGTGCGTGTGTCGTGCGTGCGTGTGCGTGTGTGTGTGTGTGTGTGTGCGTGCGTGCGTGCGCGTGCGTGCGTGTGTCGCGCGTGCATGCCCGTGTGTGCTTGTGTGCGTGCGTGCGTGCGTGCGTGCGCGTGCGTGCGTGTGTCGCGCGTGCATGCGCGTGTGTGCTTGTGAGCGGCGTGCGCGTGTGTACTTACATTGATAAGGGAGCGAGACCCCTCGCGCATAATTAACAAGCCTCAAATATATGATACTCACTTGAAATGCAATAAGGAAATATACAAATGCAATAAGGAAATATAAGGATATATACGCTCGCCTCACTCGACGCTCGCCTACTACAAACGTACTTCAACATTCATTCCATCGTTATAACGCATCCATATTATGAGGCCGTAATAAACCAATTAAGTTTGCTGTTGCCGACGGGGTTTTGTCACGAGGGAGAGCACCGTGTGGTTGTTTCTCTAATAACGCAATTGGCTGGCCAGTGAACTTCGATACGCCAGCCGCCGTACGACACTTTCACTGAAACAGTGCACTCTGATCCAGAAAAACGGGTTCTTTGATATCGCAAATGACGCACGTGTAATGGAGAAGACGGCGGAGTTGTCATGTAAACGATAAAATATAATGCTTGCTATTACCACAACTACGTTTGTTTAGGTGTTGTGTGTCTTCGAATACGATAAAACGCACGTTTTATTCATACGATATACTTCACGCAACGTAGCGAGTGGATTCTAACAGATCACTTCTAAAGGATCATTCCAAACATAACAACGACGTGTGCATAGTGGCAATGATTCGATTTGACGGTGTAATTGCATAACGATGAATTCAGTTTCCTTGATACGCGAGAAAGTTTGATAGCTATCGGCGGCCGGTTTGACGGAGCCGTGGTTCCGTGTACATCACCTTTTCAGACCAATGGTCAGCCACTTCCACCCATCATTTAGCATAAAAATAGCATGTATTCTTCCGAAATGCCATATACAGAGGCACAGTGGCGAAACGCGTGTCATTAGGCCTGCAATTAAGCTACATCCGTCCATCTTCCGGTTATAACTGCAGCGAACGTGTGAGGGAAAGTGCGAGAAGTAGAAGGTTCCCATACCACGCGGAAGTCGCGAGGGGAGCCTCTCGTGTCAATAGAAACTGAAAGTTGGAATTTCACCGCGCGCGTACGCGATAAAAAAAGCGCTGGGTTTAAAAGTATAATCATGTTTAATGGGAGAAGAAGAATGAAATAATTTCATATTGTTTGTGCGTGCGGGTGCGTGCGTGTGTGTGTGCGCGCGTGCGTATGTGTGCGCGTGCGCGTGCCTATGCGTGCGTGGGTCCATGGAAAGAAACATCACTGCATGTTTATACGCATAGAAACGTACCAGAGGAGCCGTGTTTCTGTTAGGTTAGATGTCTGTCACACTCACAATGCGGGAATCCTAACAACCAAGCAAATTGACGCACCAGTGCATATACAATTCTCTTCTAATGACCTAACGAGACTATGATTACTATTAACCTTTACAAGCATTATCGCTAGAATCAACTGTTTCATTTGCATACTACACGCACGTCGCTAACGGGAAAACGCCGTGCCCGCGTATATCTAAATATTAGCACATTAGGGTACAAAGTGGATTCGTACACCTTCGCGCATTATCCGGTTTACGGCTGTAAACGAAGGTAACCAGGCGAAAAAACGCTTGCTGCATTTCGCGTGGTCTGTGTGTGTGCGTGCGTGTGTGGGTGTCTAAGTCATCGACCTCTGCCTTTACACTCGGCGCTACAAGGCGTACGTGACTCTATACAGGTGAGTAGCGTTGCGGATTGCTGTGAGATGCATCCGCGATATGAATCGCGTATGCTAGACTACATGGAGACACGCACGTCGGTACGCACACGCACACACACACACACACACACACACACACACACACACACACACACACACACACACACACACAGCTGCAAACACAGCTACATAGCTGAGTTGGTATCAGCTGGACTCAGTGTATGTTTGTCAGGCAGGCTTCCCAACGCGGCAGAATGGATACGGTGTAGTTATGTGCTATGTAAATATAACGCAATATAATGGAGTTACCATGATGGCAAACCAAACAAATGACAAACAAACACAGTATAATGGAAAAGGAACAAGTACAAACAAAACGCGTTACATATTTCGAGGGAGAGATAGAGAGAGAGAGAGAGAGAGAGAGAGAGAGAGAGAGAGAGAGAGAGAGAGAGAGAGAGAGAG